GACTACAAGACAGGACCCAAAAAAGAAACCAACAGAACTCCACTGGCCATCACCTACAGTCCTCAGCTTAAACCTCTCCAACGCATCATCAGTGATCTACAACCCATCCTGGACAATGATCCCTCACTTCACAGACCTTGGGAGGCAGGCCAGTCCTCGCCCACAGACAATCCGCCAACCTTAAGCATATTCTCACCAACAACCACGCACCGCACCATAACAACTCTAACTCAGGAGCCAACCCATGCAACAAACCTCGATGCCAACTCTGCCCACATATCTACACCAGCAACACCATCACAGGACCTAACCAGATCAGCTACAACATCACCGGCTCATTCACCTGCACGTCCACCAATGTTATTTATGCCATCATATGCCAGCAATGCCCCTCTGCTATGTACATTGGCCAAACTGGACAGTCACTATGCAAGATAACCTCGTTATCTCCATACTGATTTATACCTGCCTCTGGAGATTTCCATTACTTGCATCTGAAGAAGTGAGGTTCTTACCCACGAAAGGCTTATGCTCCCAATACTTCTGTTAGTCTTAAAGGTGCCACAGGACCCTCTGTTGCTTTTTACAGATTCAGACTAACACGGCTACCCCTCTGATACTTGACACATGCTTGGAGTTAGGCATGTACTGAGTCGATGCCTGAGTGCATCAGATGACCCCAGACCAGCGCCCGGGGGGATCTCAGTGCCCCCCCCGGAGCTCAGGAGCTATCACAGTCCCCCTTGCTGCGGTGATAGGCAGCCCGCAAAAAGGTGGAGGTGGCTCAGTGGGGATGACACAGCCCTAAGTCAGGGTTCGTCTCGAAGTCCATGAGTGTGCAGAGCAGAGTGGGAAATCTCACCAGAACGGGTGGCCGCGCAGCACCTCCTGCGGCCAGGAAGCCAGCCCAGCTACGGACACCTCAGAAATAGAGCGAAGGGGGCTTTGGGATAAAGATGGGGAGTCTGATTTTATCACCCATCCCTACCCTGCTCTGCACAAGGGGGCGAGGCTAGCTGATGCCCAGAGCACTAAGGAAAAAGGCAGTCAGTTCAGAGGGTCTCCTCTCCCCACGGCAGAGGGGGTTTTAGGTGGGGCAGGCTGATTCCTCCGCCAGTTACCTGCATTTCAGACTACCTCAGTCAAACATAATGACTGGTGAGAAAAACTCTCCCATCGTGGGGTCACGGATGTACACGTTACACAGAACGGGGATGGCCGCCAGGCCTGCAGCTGACTCGTTCAGCTGAGAGATCTTGAACCAAGCCAACGGAGAGAATGAGTTACTCCCAGATATATGTAGCAATAAAAAAAACTCAGTGTGTGAACTGCGGTTTGCAAAGAACCATTCAAAACCACCTGGTTTCTAAGTTCTCTCCGTCACTGCTTTGTGCAGCCTCTGTGTAATGTTTATGCAAATAGCCTAATTTGCATAATCACAAATAATTTGCTTATAACCATAAACTTCAGCTCAAAAGGAAAATCTGTGTGGGTTTAATAATGTTGAAAAGCGTTGGCTCAGCAGCCCTGGTGAATGGAGCCCCCGACAGTTAGTTGCAGGGCAAGTGGGTTCTCTATGTGAGAGATAGGATGGCCAGGTGGTTAGGGAGATCTAGGTTCAAGTTGCTGCTCTCCCATCATCTTCCTGTGTGACCCTGAGCAAGTCACTCCCTCACTGTGCCTCAGTTTCCCCATCTGTACAATGAGAACAGCCCTGCCCTGCCTCCCAGGGATGCTAGATTGTGAAGTATTCCAATAACATGGTAATGGGGGCCAGCCAAGTACCAGAGTCCCCATCCTGCCAGCTTAGCTCGACCCCATTTACCTGAGCAGTGGGTGTAGCCTGAACCAGTACTGAAAATGGCTTAATTGCAAGTACCGTAAAGACCAAAGCATGTACAACTGAGATCAAAGCCAGGCTCAGCTGTTGGTGCTGACCAGGGATTGGTCCTGCCTATGCTTGCAGCTAAAAAGTCTTCACAGCAGCATTGGTCCAAGCCGCTAACAACGAGGGTGAGTCGCTCCTGGTACAGCCAAGACCTAAATTATCCTAAGAGTGACTGAAGATGAGAAGGCAGGGGCAGATGTGTGTCTGTATAAATTAGATAGAGGAAAGTTGTTTGCTGTGACAGTACTTTAACCACAGTTCATGTTACGGGGTTAATATGTTTAACTTTCTCTCTTCAGGGTTTGTTAGATAGTATTTAGACGAACATACTCTATCTCTCAGCATAGCAGAGCAATAGAGACTGCAGAGCATCCTACAGGATATGCTGCATGTTCTGGTGACGTTTGCTGGGGAAGATAGTGTGAGGATTGGTCCTGTTATTTAGAATATGCTACAAGTGCATCACCATCAGCAATTATCTGCAAAGATGCTTCTCACAGCTGCTAATTTCCTCACTCCATCCCATATGGCTGAAGTGGGCTTTAAGTAAGGCAGCATGGCCTAGTGGATAGAGTATCGACTAGGACTCAGGAGAGTTTGGTTCTAGTCCCAGTTCTGCCACTGGTCTGCTGCCCGAACTTCGGCTTCACCGCTCTGTACCTCAGTTTCCTCATCTATAAAATGGAGCCGATTCTCACCTCCCTCAAGACCTACAGGTGAAAAGGGCTTTGTGAGAGCTAGGTATTATTACAGGGTGCCTAGGCCTTGTGCCCATGGTGATGGGGCTTTAGAGTTAGATTAGCTAGTGGTAGATCAGGTGACTGCTTGTCAAACTAGTCCAGCTGCAGCATCTCAACAGCACCTGTACAACTGTGTAGTGTTCTCAGGCCATTTGGATCCTTGGATGTTCTAACTGCCACCTTCCGCCATGGTTCTGGATGCAGCAGGCAAGGCAGGAAAGCAGCCAGTTGAGTCGCTCCATAAAACACTTCATTAACCTTTAAATAATTATACTAATACATTCAAATCAGATGCTGATCTGTCTCGTGTTAGGAGTCCAGACAGTAGACTCAGGTGCTGCTTCATCCTTCCCCTACAATCTAACTCCAGCAGTGCTAGAAGCAGGCACGGCACATTCCCACCACAGGTTCAGAGGTACTCACACACATCCTGGCATGCACCTCAGTGGGCCACCCATAGGCTGGGGGTGGTGTCTGGCCATGGAAACTAACCTGGGGCATACACACATGGGTCAGGTACCGAGATCTACAGGGGGGAGGGAGGAATTGAGCTAGAACTGCTGTTATGGTACAGCAATGGCCCAAATACTGTAGCAATTCTACAGCCAGTGTAATATGCTGGCTAAGTGGACTGCTCCTTCTAGCAGCTGGTCCAAACAGAAGATAAAAAGCTGCCAGCTAGTGCCAACTAATGAAGTTTTTCTTTTAGCTCAGGTAGCAGAGGCCTGTGCTTTTAGTGCCAAGGGTCCCAAGTTCAAAGCCTGCTGGCAGCCCATGATGTGTTACACAAAGTGGAAGTGTTTGGGCTACTCCTGAATAATAAACAGCTCACTGGGTTTGTTTTAAATAAAGGAAGATGCAGCCCTGGGTGCGGATCCTTCAGAGGCAGCCAAGTAGTAAATAAATATGCAGTTTCTATTCTTCATCCATTTTGTCTTCGAATTTCTTGATCATTAGGAGTAGCTTTGGTCACAAGAGATCTGGATTTTGTTTGAGGAATGAGAATACAGGAGTACCTGTGGTTACACGAGCTGGGATTAAAAACAAAAAGGCCCCTCAATCCTCAGGCTTCAGGGAAACAGCCAGTCGCCCACAGGGATCAGGAAGGGATTTCTTCCCATGGCTCTGCAGGGTATCGCACAAGCAGGTCAATTACAGTGGCTTGCACGTATCTGGCATTG